GGTTAACAGTTGAGATCTGAGATAGATGGGGATTACAATCGAAGCGCAAATTATGCTATGATTCTGCAAGAAAGCAACACTCAAAGCAAATGAAATTGGATGCTTTTTTCAAAAAGAGTTTAATTTAGTACCGACGAACTAGTGAGTTAGTATTTATTTCAAAAAATACATTAATTTATATCAAGAGATTGTTATTTATTTTGAATATATTATGTAAATAGGATATGTATTAAATAAACATGTTAGATTGTTCTTAGAATTTTGACATGGAACCTAATGTTATATCGTCCATTATATTTGTGTTCATTTTACGCCGATTTTGTTTACGCCGGTGTCTCTCGGAACGGAACCCCGGCGTAAAACGACATTTACCTGTATCTCATTACCATAGACTGACACTACTAGTGTTCTACGTAGTCTCTTTTAGGTCCTCTTCTTATGATCTTGTTCCACCATAGACTCTTAAGGCATCCTATAATTTTCCTGCTATCAGTTATTATATGTTTTGTCTTTCTTTCCTTATACCATTCTTATCTACAATTAGTACTCCCAAATACTTAAATTACTCAACTTGATTAATTGTTGTGTCGTCATTAACTAACATACTTTTTTAAACTCAAAAAACTTCAAATTTTATTAAAACTTAACCTTAAATATTATTTTTTTAAAGCCAATTTGGAAGCTACCCTTATAAATCCTTTGAATCAGTTTGAATATGGATTCGCTGACAAAACTCTTATTTACCAGTATTAATAAATTAAATATAATAGTCAATTAAATTAAGTGTCTTAAAAAATAAAAATATGTACTTGGACAAAAAAAATCTTAATTAACGTTTTATTTATTTTTAAGCAGCTACAGTAGTTTCAGATTTTTCAGTTACATCATCACTTTTCTCAGTAACATCTTCACCCCTTTCCGACACATCCTCCCCCTTTTCAGAAGAATCCTCACCTCTTTCGGACACCTCCTCACTCTTCTCAGAAACATCCTCACTTCTTTCAGAGGCACTCTCAGAAACATCTTCCCCATCTCTTTCAGTATTACCAGAATCATCAATAGATTTTTCAGAAGTTTCAGCTGGAGTTATTCCAGTTTCATCTTCATCACCTCTTTCAGCACCTTCACCAACCTCAGTTGTTGTTACATCATCGGTACGTTCAAGATCAGGTTTGGTTGATTCTATAATTATAGAAATGTTTTATTTATTTTTTTTTGTTATTTGTTTTTTTTTTGATAATTTACCCGATTCTTGGTCTTCTTCTGTATCGATATTTCGTTCTTCTTGGGTTTCTTCTTTATTATCGTCGATAATATCGGTTTCTTTATTTTCTTCTGATTCGTTTTCTCCTTCTTCTTCGATGTTTCTTTCTTCACCACTTTCTTCTTCAATATTTCTTTCTTTACCACTTTCTTCCTCTATGTTTCTTTCTTCATCACCACTTTCTTCTTCGTTATTTCTTTCTTCTCCACTCTCTTCTTCTTTGTCGTTTCTTTCCTCACCGCTTTCTTCTTCGTTATTTCTTTCTTCTCCACTTTCTTCTTCTTCTTTGTCGTTTCTTTCCTCACCGCTTTCTTCTTCTATATTTCTTTCTTCACCACTTTCATATTCAATATTTCTTTCCTCACCACTTTCTTCTTCTATATTTCTTTCCTCACCGCTTTCTTCTTCGATCATTTCTTCCCCAGAATTTTCTTCTAATCCATAATTGTCATCATCACTACTTCCTTCATCGTTAATTTCGAATCCAGAACTTGTGTTTTCTTCACCGGAATAAGCTTCATCATCTTCTCGTTCTAAACCTCCAGAATATTCTTCAGCATCGTCTGATTCTTCATATCCCGATTCTTCGCTATCTCTTTCTTGTGGTGTACCAGAATAATCTTCATCTGAATCTCCAGAATAATCATCATCGTAGTCGTCATCACCGCTCTCTCTTTCTTCCCAACCAGAAGTTTCGTCGTCGTCGTAATCGGAGCCGCTTTCTTCATCATATATATCTTCGCTACTTCGGTCGTAATAATAATTGTATTGAACTGGAGTTTCGACAGTTTTAGGAGGATTTTTGATGTACTCTTCGTAATAATAACTATCTTCGTCATAGGTAACACCATCGTCGCCGTAGTAATCATCTTCTTCATCTATCGAACGATCATAACCGCTTTCATATTCATCATCATCATTAAATAAGATGATGTAGCTATCATCATCACCACTATAATCATCATAATAATCTTCATCATCATCTTCATCTTCATCATCATCTTCATCATAATAATCTTCATCATCATCTTCATCATAATAATCTTCATTATCATCTTCTTCATAATAATCTTCTTCATCATCATCTTCTTCATCATCTTCTTCTTCATCATCATCTTCTTCATCATCATCTTCATCATCATCTTCTTCATCATCATCATCTTCATAAAAATCTTCATCATCATCTTCATCATAGTAATCATCATCTTCATCTATTCCACGGATTTTTCTATTATCTAAATCGCCAGAGTAGATATCATCATAGTGAATGTTTTTTTCATTATATGTGTCTTTGTAAACTCCATAGATGTCGCGAGAATCTTCGTTATCAAAGTAATCTCCTTCAGATCTTTGTTTGCCGTTGTAATAATAATCTTGATCTTGATCCTCATCGTATCCGCTGTTATGATCGTCCTCTTCAGAGTCTATTTCTACTTGTGTGTAATAATCGTAATAACTTTCATCGTAATAATCTTCCTCATCAACATTTTTATCGTAAGATTCTTCATTATAAGAATCTTCATCATAAGAATCTTCAACATAAGAATCATTACCATAAGAACCTTCATCATAAGGATTAAGATAATTTTCAAACAATGTGGTTTCTTGTAAAGTAGTCGTTTCTGTGATAATTTCCGTAACAATATCAGAAATTTGTTTAGCTTTAAAAGCTTCATTATTCAGAAGCTCTTCTTTTTTCATTTGCAAATAAGTCACGTAATTATTGATGATATCGATCGGATTAAAACCAAGCTTTTCCTTCTCCTCGGATAAAGCTTCTAAAGCCAGTTTTAATCTCGCATCATAATAATCATAATAATAATCATGATAATCATGGTACGAATCGCTTTCCTCCCCGGAATAATCATATTCTCCTAATTCTAAATCATCCCCGTAATAATACGGTGTCGTTTCGACGTAATAATTTTCCGTTTCTGATTCGTAATCGTAAGTCGTGGAAGATTCTTCACTAATGTTTTCTGGGATGTTTTGGCAGTTTGAGAATGAATTTATGAAATTGTCCCAAAGTTTGGCGAATGTGGCGAGGGCTTTTTCTTTATCGTTGATGGTGCTGTAAATGATTGAGTTGATGGCGAGTTGTTTTAAAAGTTTTAAATCGCTTCGAACGTTCGTCATTCCCATAAACATTGCGTACCAATCGAATGAGGCCGCTTTTGAATTGTAAATTCCTGGATCATCGTTGCAAATAACAACCGGATAACCTTGCGAAATGAAATATGTTCCCGGGTGATTTCTTAAATCGGTGATTAAGCCGAAAACTTGATTAGAAATCGGACAAATTTCAATTGGAATGTGCCTTTCGCGCACGATTTCTAATAATTCCGGGTGTTTTATCAATCCGATTCCGTGACCAATTCGAAAAGTGTTCATTAAGATCGAATCTAACACATTCATATCGGGTAAAGTTCCAATCCAATTTGTTGCGCCAGCGTGGAAGAAAAATTTTAAATTTGTGTTTTGTATGGTGGTGACTGCTTGGGAGATTGGTTTCATTAATTCTTCTTTTCTCATAACGTCGTAACCCGCGATGAAATTGGGAAAGAATTTGGCGACGTTTAAAGTGTTTTCGAGACTTTCTTGCACAGTATTTTCTGACTCTAAAGTTTCTTCTGATGTGTAAATTAATTTAGCTCCAAGAAAAACTTTGTGATTACACTTAAATTCGTTAACGATTTCTTCGAGCATATTTACAACATCGAATGGTTTATATAAATTTCCTTCTAAATCGTAAACTGGGAGAAAAGGGGCTCGAAATTCAACATAAAAGATATTATCTTCGTACAATTCTTGGAGCGCGCGATAAAAATATTTATAAAGAATTGGTTTATAAGTTACTAATCCAATTAAAACTTTATGGGTACTTTCAAAAACGCTTTTTGCGTCCGATTCGTCATCAAACGGCCTTCCTTCACTTCTTTTACTCATAAAAGCGTGCGATTTTAATTTTTTATCGAACGATTTATCGAATTTTCTTAAAACATTAACCGGGGACCAATCGCAACGATTATCAACGTGGTCGTAAAAAAAATGCAGAAGCATTTGGTCATCTTGGAAACAAGCGTACAAATCCTCACTAAAAGTTAAATTATAAATAAATTCGCCGGAAACCATCCCATAAAAATGCGTGTGCAACATAGCCCCTTTCGGCATCGTTTTTAAAAATCGATAAACCAAGGATTGTTCAACAAAATTATAAGTTTCAAAGAAATGTTTTGACGCCAAAAAAACTTTTGGATTATAATAACCCGTTTTAAACTCGTTCAATTTAATCTCCATTAAAACATCGTTAACACAATTTTCTTGAGGTGTTAATGTTATATCACTTCCCACGGTTTTATTATCTTCGTTTGAAATCACCAATTTTCTCATTTCCCAAAAATCCCGCTCTTTATCCGAAGAAACCACTTCGAAAAACATTAAAACTACAGATAACACAAACATTTTTCTTTTTGATCAATCAACACGTGAATTAACAAAATCGTTAATTGTTATCGTAAATCGAGTTTTATGGGATTTTATGTAGGAAGATTATTATTTTTTCTTTCACAAAAGATTATTTTATAAAATTAAAAATGTTTTAAAAATAGAAACTTTGCTTAATTCGACCTTCCAATTACAAAGAATCGTAACAATAATTACTTAGCTGTGCTTGTGAATACTAATTTACCTATATAACATGTTAAACACGCCAAGATACAACCATTTTAAAAGAAAACTTAGAAATGATACGATATATTGTGATTTTTGTGTGCTTGGTTGGCTCAAATCGAGGAGATTTGGTAAAAAATAATTTAATTATTTAACTTTATTTTGATTAAATTTTTTTAGTGGGATGATTATTGCGAATCATGTGATGATTATGATTTATTTGGATTTTGCGACTGGTTCTGCGAAGATGATGACTCAGAGGAAACTAAGCCTACAACACCTTGTCCTACTTTACCTCCAAGTACTTCTGAAAAAACAACTGAAAGTAACGAAAAACCCACAACGGCTGCAACAACTAAAGCTGATGAAGCTACAACACCAAGTGGTGGTGTTACAACACCAGCTGGTGGTGATGCAGCTACAACCCCTACCGAAGCTACAACAGTACAAGGGTGATGATTTCAGGAAACATCGAATTGAAAAATATTATTAATAAAATGTGTATTTTTTGTAATTACATTCGTTCATTTTTAATTAAAGTTGCTATTATAAAGCTCAGCTAATTCGAATACCCTCAAATCCGAATTCCCTTTTAATGCAATCAAAATTAGAAAACGTAAAATTTGCATTATGTCCCTTGCAATTCGAATTGGTAAAAGAGATCTACATTACTTCCTCTGTCCGAAAGTAATTGCTACATTTGAGTTTAACTTTTGTCCGAGAATAGTTGCTACACTTTGTTTTATTTCAAAGAAATGCAAGAAATAAAGATTTAGGAAGCAAAACTATATTACTTATTTAAATTGAAAACACAAAAAAACAATTTTATTATTATTTATTTGTAATACTTAATTACTTCTATTGTTTAAATGTTCTTGAGCCATTTTAATAGCATTTTCATCGCATTTATTAGACAATAAAGTCCAATTAGAATGATTGCGTCTTAATTTCATTTTGTTTAGGTGTTTTAATTTATAACTATTACACTCTTTATGTAATAATGTACACTGCCGTCCTTACTTAAATCGTCGTATCTACATTTTTCCTAATTTTCAACCTAAATGCAAATTCTTGAATATGGATGTTATTTCTACCTATTTGGCTAAGTAAGAAAGTCCTAGCTGCTTTTAAAGTTGCTAAAATATATCTAAACATATCATCCTATCTCCAGTTTTAATACATTTCCTAAGTGAGAAAATCCTATCTGATATTTACTAAAGTAAATAATCCTAACTAGCTTTGTTCAGTCTTATGACTATGTACATGAGTATTCAATGTGAGGGCTTTGCTACGTTAAAATGTCCTATGTTAAATTGTCCTATCTCACATTTTTGTTGTAATAATAATAATAATAATAATTCATTTATTGACTTGATAACAAAAACCTAATTCAAACATATAATAACATATCAAAATAAAAATACTATTAATTAAATCAAGTCAACTCGGACGATTGTCAGAGGAGGTTTAGATAAACAACTCTGATTTTCACAATCGCCCGAAAATACTATAAATAAGAAAAGAATAAAAGAAAACAAGAAAACAGATAAATCGAGAAAACACGCAAAACGTGACAAAACACAAAAGAACAAAAACAAAATTGTTTTTTCAAGCAACATCAAAAAACAAATTGTAATTTAAATGCCTTTTTGAAGGCAGGCACTGATTGTTTAGAGCGCAAAGCTTCCGGCAGAGAATTCCAAAAATCAGCAATTCTGTAAGAAAAAGACCTTTTAAACAGTTGGGTGCTATGAGGCAGGATAGACAGGCAGTTCTTTCTGCGGACGTTTATATTATGAACGTCCGTTCTAAATCTGATTTTATTGTGCAAGTAAGCCGGAGTTTTGAACATAATAATTTTGAAAAATAATACTCCCTCATGAAAAATTCTCCTTGCTTTCATACTCAGCCACCGTATCTCGGGCAACTTGTAAGAGATCCTTTGATTTCGACGTATACCAAATATCAAACGGAGACACGCCCCCTGGACTCGTTGGACTCGTGCCGCAGCATCTGCACGCAGATGAGGTCCATAAACAGCGTTGCAGTGATTAAACCGAGAAAGTATCAACGTGTCAGTGAGCAAGGCTCTACTTTGCGTGCTTAAAATGTGACGGTTGGCGTATAAAGACTTTAGCGTGGCATACGAACATCTAATTAAGTGATTGATATGTGTATTAAAACGCATATCCGAATCCAGCCATACCCCCAAGAGTTTTACAGTATCAACTACGCGCAATTCATCGCCGCCCACACGAATGCTCAATGATGCTCTGGCAGGACCAAGGTCTTTACTTCTACCGAATATAATAGCTGATGATTTCGTACCATTAATCAATAGACCGTGCCCTTCCGATACATTCACCACCCGTTCGATATCTTGATTTAAACGACTATTTGCACTTTCAATCTCTGACAACGGAAAACTCAAATATAGTTGTGTATCATCCGCATAAGTTTGTAATTTACAGTAACGGACGTGTAACGAGAAGGCACTAGTATATAGGACAAATAGGATAGGACCGCAAATACTACCCTGCGGCACACCTGTAGGAGTGTAAAATTCACGAGAAGTAGAATCACGAACGCGCACCCTCATACTTCTGCCCTCCAAATAATGTCGAAAGAAATCAACGGATTCACGGCTAAAACCCATAAACCTAAGAACAGCAAGCAACATTTGATGATTGATAGTGTCAAATGCCTTAGAATAGTCAAGTGTCACCAGGGCCGTAACAAGGCCAGAATCAGAGGAGCGCACAATGTCATCCGTAAGGTTTAAAAGAGAAGTAGCGCACGAAAAACCCGGACGAAAACCCGATTGGGAATCAGGCAGAAGATTATATTGAGTTAGGTGTGTTCGCAGCTGACGATCCACAATTTTTTCAACAACCTTGGAAAGGCCGGGTAGAAGACAAATGAGCCTTAAATCGCTATAATTGGAAGGATTTGGTTTTTTGGGTATTGCAACTGCAATAGACTGTTTCCAGATGGTAGGGTATACATTTTCTGTTAAACAGAAATTTACGATATGTAAAATATATCTAGATATAAAAGGAAAACACATCTTAACAAATTTTAGTGCTATGCCATCGACTCCAACGGCATTGGAAGAGATACTAATCAACGTGGAGTATAGATCGTTCTCCGTTATAGCCCAGAAGGAGAATTCAGTTTGAAAAGCAGTAGCCTTGTTGTTATTGTAGTATTGATACACATCACAGTCGATATCAGTTTGAGGAACAGCGCCGCCGAAGTGACTCGCAATCTCATTTGCATTGGCCAACGACTCCGGGATAATACCCTTACCTTTAGTAATATTTACGTTTTCCCTAATGCGACGCCAATACTCGGAGGAAGTGTTTGGGGAGAGCTGCGAGTCAAAGTAGGCCCTTTTTTCCCTTCTGATAGCGGCTGTAACATAGTTTCTCAAGCTTTTATAATAATCCTTATGAGAATCCAGCCTGGTATGCTTGAATCTCTTATACGAGTTATCACGAAGTTTAATCATTTCTCTAATAGTGGTCGTCAACCAAGGAGGCCGAGGGCTAGATACACTCTACTAGGAATGTGTACATAAAACACTGAGAGCAGCAGCTCATTGAAAATTCTCAATTTATCGTTAACATCCTGCGTATAAATAATATCCATCCACGGCAGCATCCCCAGGTAACTCTCAAGAGCAACCCGATCTGCAGAGCCATAATCCCAGACAGTTTTAAAGAGTAGAGGGGGCTTGAAGTGCTCATGCAAAATGGTGCAGAAAGTGAAAAAGTGATCCGAGAATTTAAAAAATTCCCGAACACCGCACTCCCGCACCGCAATACTTTCCGTCACCAAAATAAGATCAATAAGCGTAGAACTAGAGGCAGTTACCCTAGTAGGTGAGTTTACAATCTGAAGCAAACCGTACGCACACATGAGGTCCTCTAAAAGCCTTGTAGATAGGATGAATTTACTAAGTTTACATGGGAGAATCGGTTGCTGATTTCAATAAACCTCTCTCACATAGGCTCTAATGGGAAATAATTTACAGAACATAACCTATAAAAATCAGTATGCAAGTAGTCTGCAATCATCCATGTGTTTCCGTGTTTTGTTGCTATACAATTATTGTGAATTACTAATGTACTAATTATTACAATACTAATAAGTGGTGGTGACAAGGAATGCCTGTTGGTAGTCAAGTGTTAATGGTAAGTATAAGAAACAGACTCATTAAGATTTTATGATTATGAGTATTCCAGTTAGTGATAAAAATCACAGCTGATAATGTGTTTGCCGGCAGAGGTCCCTATTATTCAATGTTAATGATTTAGGGTTTTATTTTTGTGGTAGAAAGACTGGGAAGTATTTCCATTTCATATCATATTGTAAATTTCCCTAGATTGTAAAGACATTTTAGTTGCACATCTGATAGATTAATAAAAAACATAGGTATATTTAACACAAACCTAGCACCTTCATTTGATTCTACCTTGCTGTCAATTAGATTATAAGAAAATAAGTACCGATTGCTGGATGCCTTTCTCACCTGCGTCGATTTCATCTTTTTCTATCAAATATAAATAAGTAGTCTGGTCCGATTTATGTTTTACGTTTCATCCTACGTTTAATTTTTGCTTTTAGAAAAATGGAATCTCTCGATAAAAAAATTGTATCCATGGTATTAAATAAGAAGTTACAAGAACTAAAGAACTAAAGAGCAATAGGGAACCTAAACAGAGCAGTAACGATCTAGCAGCGTCAGCAGCCATCATAGTGACGTTAGTGATTTGGAAAATTATTCTGAATATGAGAACCAGATTGCGAACGATGGAACTAAGTACGAAAATGAAGAGTACAGAATTCCTATCGAACCCGATAAATCCACGAGAATCACTATTCTATCAGATATAACATTGGGACCAATTTCAGGAAATCACATGGCACAAGGAAGAGAAAACAATCAAGAAACAATGTTTGAAGAAAATGAAATGTGGATTAAAAACATGTTAATAAGTGTAGTAAACCAAGTTGTTAATATGCGTGAGAATTTAGAAAAATATGTGTATACCAAGAAAGGGATCATTCGTAAGCGAAAAATGTTTGAAGTACCTCTTGTTGAAAGGAAAAAACAAAAATTACAAGAGAAGAAGAAAATGCATACTGTTAAATTACCATGTATGAAATGCATAAAAAACTGCGCGAAAAAAATAAATGTTGACAGACAAGAGGAAATCAACTCTCAGTTCTGGGAAATGAACAATACTAATCAAAGATTATTCTTATTTGGATGCATAAGAAAGTGTCAAAAAGGAAGAAAAACAACAAAAGGACGTTCAAGAAGGGAAAACTCATTTAAATATTTTCTTAAAGATGTCAATGACATAGACACATCTGTATGCAAAACGTTTCTCCTAGCTACATTAGAATTCAATTCTTCCAATGACAGTCTCTTGAAATCCGTCCGAAACACTGAATCTACAGCTATTTCACCGAGGATTGATAGACACGGACGTCATCCTAATCACGCAAAAATTGATAGGACCCTAATAAAAGAGCATATTAAGTCCTTTCGTCCAGTTATATCCCATTATAGAAGGGAGCATGCTCCAAATAGACTCTATCTGCCAGCTGATATATCTGCTACCCTCATGTATAAAGACTTCAAGGAAAAGAAGCGAATCTTAAACTGTCTTACGAGCTATATAGAAAAGAAATAAGAGCAATGAATATTTCATTCGCGAGACTTGGGAATGAGGAATGTTTTGAATGTGAAAAGTTTAACTTACACTCAACAACTACTCTTCATCAAAAAAACAATTTACCCGAAGATTGCGACTCATGCATGTTATGGAAAAGGAGGTTATTTTCATTCCAAGACTGATTTCCTTTAATGAGTCCTTTGTACCAGTTGGTCAATATACAAAGTCCACGAAACCTCTGGCGGTGGTGTGGCACGAAGCAATCCGAGGAAGGAAAAAAGAAGATTTGATTTCAATATTTTATGCGTTTCTATTGAGAAATAGAGACGTGTCTAACATAACGATTTGGCTGGACAATTCTGCAGCCCAAAACAAGAATTGGGCTTTATTCTGTTTTTGTATCTACGCTGTCAATAACTGTTCAGAATTGGCCTTGAAAACTTTGGAAATAAAATACTTTCAGTCAGGACATACATTTATGTTGGCAGACGCGTTCCACCATCAGGTGGAAAAATCACTTAAGAGAATGGGGAAGGTATTAGACTTTGATGATTTCAAACGTGCAGTTAACGATGCAAACTCTTCTAAAGTTGACATGAGTATCAAAGACTTTTTTGACTGGAAAGATTTTAGTTCCAAATACAAAATTCAAAGGAATAATCCTAAACCATATTTGCAAGATATGTCACATTTGGTATTTAGGGAAGGAGAATACGTAATGTGGTATAAAAACAACTTTTTTGAAGATGATTTTGTCAAACTAAATTTTGTGACAGCCAAACAATTCAAGGAAGGAATGCCGAAGCCTACTTCCAAACATGAATGCCGAGGAATATCCGAGACGAGGAAAAGTGACCTAATCTCAAAACTACGGCCAATTATTCCTGAAAACCGTCTTAAATTTTGGGAGCATGTACCCATCATATGTGCTGACGGCAATAACGATGACGAATTTATGGATGAGGTGTAATAAGTTTTTATCTACAACTATTGAATTATCTATTCGTTATACAATTGATTTTTGACGGGTAATGACACTCATTACCCATGACAGACAAAGTGTTGAATAATGAGGCCATTATTCCACACTTCTGACACTGCCTACTAATCAAAAAATAAAATATTAACAGAAATGACAGCTTTCTTATATTGAGGTTATGTCTGAAATGTCTATCAAGTTTATTTTTTTTTCGTTTTTTTGATTTTTTTTTCAAAATTAAATAGTTGTAGATAAAGTATAGTATTCAACTTGCGTATAATGGATGTTACCCACTCAGATTACATTATTATTATTATTATTATTAAATTATTTTTGAGGATTTGAACATTTTAGTTTCCGGCTGATAGGATACAATTGTTTTACCACTCCTATCACAGAAATTTTCATCTATGTTTACTGCATGAATAGCTATATTTTTTACCAAAATACGTATGTACTATGTTTGTCAATAAACTTGATAAATCATATATTATTTAGTAGCATTCCTTTTTCTTTACAGTTTTCTATATTTTAGGTGTAATTTTACTAAGACATAACATCTTATCTGCACATTTTTCTACATAATTCAGTTATAACTAAACTTATACTTTTTTAATCGTAAATAATGAAAATATCCATACGCTTTGAGATGGCATGCAAAGATTGAAAAATAAATGTTGAAAGATATGGATAGCGATTAATTTTCCCTTTAAATTGAATTATCTCAGTTTCAACATTTTGTCACTTAGAATAATTTCAGTAAGGACGACGGTACACTCCATTGATTTTTGCAGCGAAATAAACACATTATCTAAAGGAGGATTTCAGGATTTTCTCCAGTAGGATTTTTTCACTGCTTCAATTAATTCATCGATATTTCTTTATGGTAGTTGATGCTGAACTGATTGAATGGAATTGAAAAAACCTAAATCCAACACATTCAAATCGGCACTGTTGGGTGATTGCGGTTTTAATAGTTAGTGAAGAATCGTTACTGTACAAATGTAGCTTTGCATTATCTTGTTGAATGTATATTGTGTTTTTCTTAGAACCAACAGGCCACTTGTCCCGTATTGCAAGAAATAAATTATGAAGAATCATTTTCCTTATTTCTTCTTTGTTAACAACTTTCACAGCTTTGGTTACGAAAGTTCCCTTTGGTCGATTCTTGCTGTTTCTCTTAGCTGGAGAAGAAGATGCAAATAGCTAAATTCCTAACTTTCCATCAAAAGACGCTTTTCTATGAAAATCCCAACGTGGACGAGCAACTGCCGCCATAAACATTACCTTTGTAATAAATCTTTTACTCTTACAAGGTCTATAAGGCTGTTCTTCTTCGGGAGTTATATAAAAACTTCTTTTAGTTTTGGTTATATAGAACCAATTATTAGAGAGATATGAAATACATCATAATTCTTAACTCTACAAAAAATAAAAAAAAAGAAAGAAAACAATATCTTAAATAAAGTAAAGAAATATTCGCAGCAAAACTGTGACTCACCGGTCTCTGCCAGAAATAGTAGTCACCTGCTCTCCAAGTAACCGTGCCCTCAAATGTTTTTTAAAACAATTAACACCGAGATTCCTCAACTCGTCACCAATGCTCTCGTATGACTTATATATATGAAAAGAAAAAGATCTTTGGTAAAGTGACGTTCTGTGTCGAGGCGGGGCTAAATCTAGTTTCACGATTGTGAATATCGCACCTGAAAAACATCATATTGTACAAATATATAGGGATTTTAGTAGTAATCAATTTATGATAATAAGTTAGAGTATGAAGTTCTCTTCTTGAGCGCATCGACAACCAGCCTGATTCAATAAGCCAGTGGGAAATGTGATCGAACTTCCGGATTCCATAAATAAAACGAAGACAGCGATTCTGAACTCTCCGAAGCCTCCCCGAGTCATATGAGCACACAGCCGGATGATATAAGGGAATCATATAGTTAAACTGAGAAAGAACCAAGGAGTCACATAAAATTTTTTTCAACATGATAGGCAAATAGCTTCTATGAGGATATAGTAGCCTTAACGAGTGATACGCTTTCTTGATGTAGTTATTAACTTGACTATGGTATCTAAAACTGTTATCTATGACCTTAATGTAGTTCGTTTATACAAAGGAAGAGAAGAAATGTTTGCAATTTGCTGGCTATAATCTTTGACTTTCCGTCTACATCTTTTTTTAAGGGAATCAACATTAATGACAGAATTGTTATTTTGACAACCTTTGGCTCGTTTCTACAATTTGGAGATCGTTGAACGACTGCAAGAAAACTTGCGTGCGGCGGCATTTATCGCGCCTCGTTTAAGTTTTCCTTGACTGACATTTTGTAATAAATAATGTTTTCTTTCTTTCTACACTTTTTGCCACCTGTATGAATGTATTCCGAAATATTTTTGTCGCTTAAAAAGTTAAATTTGACATAAGGAAACTAATTATCACAAAACAAGTGCAATAGCTAAGTCGGTTTTGGTCATGGCACACTTTGATTGTTATATTGTTTACCTTATGTATCTAGATAAATCGCTTATGCATTTTATATTTACAATAATTTTTATATTAAACTGAAATTTAGCAACTATTATCGGACAAAGGAAGTATTATTTAATGATTCTTTTTCCATTTTACATTTGATGTAAATCAAATTCGTTTTTGCACTTTAAATGGATATTTTATTTTTATTTCTCTACCGGTTTCGCCACATAATTATAGCGTCATCAGGAGAATACCTATATTAATACAAAACATTTTATATGTTAATCTTAAAACAAGCGCATTGCATTATTTGAACTATTACATTAACATTTTAAAAACAACTTACGTCAATGGTTACAAAAGCATCCTATGATAGAAGTTACTGGGCATTTCTTTATGTATTTTCACCCTTAAATTTCACTGAGAATCTTATAAAATTGCGATTAGAGAGGATTAAATTTTATGAAACGTTATTGCGTCATGCACCTTGCTGCTAAAGTTGATTTGAAGTTAGGGATCATATGTTGATTTGGGGAAATTTCGTTTTTATTGTTGAGGGGTGAGGGTGCGGTGAATCCTAGGTAGGCTTGTCCTACTTGTTTTACCGTATTCTGGGTTCTTGTCTTATGACCTGAATCAGGACCGACACTGCAGTTTTTACTGCTCCTTCACGAGGTGCCCCTGTACCATACCAAAAGTGTCCGATCTAGACTGCCAGTCGATAAACAGGCCTCCTGCCCGGCTGTCGTCACGTGGCTTAGGGCTTGCACGGCAGAAAACGTGGTCGGTGACGACTGATATAGTCGAAACTGTTATACCATGAATGCCTATTGTTTGTGGACCTGTTCCACGGGCAGGGCATGGGGGGCTATCTTGGCTTAATTGCCTGGGTCAAGAGGAGACAACCTTATTAAAAACCCCAAAGTGAATGTGAAACAGCTTATGCAGAGCACTTTAGGCTGTCATCTGACGGTCTAGTCATCCGGGAAGCGATGACTGCTAATAAGCGGACTCTGGAGACCTGCCGACTTTCAGTTTCAATAGGCTTATCGGGGTATGGGAGCCTTTCTGCCCTACTTGTGGGATTAGTATGGAGACGCCCAGTAAAAATAAAACCCTAGACGAGGGGGGGATAAACCTCGATCCTGAAAAGGAAACAAAAAAGATGGAGAATAGTCCTCCATCACAATCTACACTTGTGGTAGCCGGACCGTCCGCACTTAAGTTAGGTTCTCCCTCTCTGGAAGAGGAGCAGGTTCTTCTGCACTCTGAAGGGGAGGAAGATGAGCAGGAGGGTGTTGGTGGTATCACTATCAGTGAGTAATGCTCGATACCAGATTGTATTACCTAAGCGGCAGTCCTGGATCGAAAATGAAAATTCTCTGGTTCAGGCAGACATTTGCTTGTACACAGATAGATCAAAAACGCCTGAAGGGGTTGGAGCAGGAGTATACTGCCAGACACCTCGAATTAAGCAATGTTACAGCCTGGGTACGTACTGTACTGTATTCCAGGCGGAAGTATTTGCTAATAACGTGGGTGCTAAAATCCTTCTTGAAAGAGGGGTGAAGAACATGACAGTACGAATTTTCTCAGACAATCAAGCCGCTCTCCAGGCGCTTCAAGTCGTGAAAACGTTGTCGGCTCTAGTTAATGATTGTAAGAGAACATTAAACACACTGAGTTGTGATAATAGAGTTTCTCTGATCTGGGTCCCGGGTCACTCTAGGGTTGCTGGCAATGAAGCGGCAGATAAGCTAGCACGAGATGGCAGCGCTGAAGCGTTTGTGGGGTCGGAACCAGCAGTTGGTGTATCATTTGCGATGGCCAAATATAGGATTGGACTGTGTGCTGAAGAGAAACTGCGCCTACTGTGGACCAGTTCTCCTGGAATGAGACCTGCTAAGATGTTTATTAACATCGCCACTGTCAAACCCGGGAATATTTTAGGACTTGCCTGTAGTAGCATAAAAGTTTTAATGGGTGTTTTTACTGGCCACTGCCGATTAAAAGCACACCTCAAATTGTTGGGTTTAGCCGACGATGTTGAATGCCGACTATGTGCGGAGGAAGCAGTGACGGTTGAGCATGTTTTATGCCACTGCCCTGCCGTTAACCGTATCAGATTCTCGATTTTTGGGTCGCAGTTTATCTCCTCAAAAAATCTGAATGACCTTTCACCGAGCAAGGTATTAATGTTCGAAAAGAGCATTGGACTGCACGGTGAAATTTGATAACGATATCTATCGGGGTACAATAGATCCTGAGGGTCGCGGTGCAAGGTTGGTTGGTCCGGCTACCCGATATGTATTCTATGTAATGTAATGTAACATCGTGGATGTTGCTTGGACGTCTTATTTAAATTTGAAATAATAAAATAGTTATTAAAACTATCTTAAAAAGGGGGATTGTTTAGAAAGGTGGGGATTTATATGGTAAAGGG